CCCGCTAACACAACAATGCAGGCCACAGGTAATGGCAGCTTGAGCCGAGGATGGTTTTGTCCGCTGCTTGCTTTAAAGTCCTCCAAGTGAATGTGAGGGAAAGGGGGTTGGCGGTGTCTCACTGGAGGAGACGGAGGTTCAGCATTAAAAAAAATAAATAAATAAATAAAAAATAACAAGTTCACACAAAATTGTTCTCTCTTTGGTGCCTATAGGAGGCTAAGCAGCGATGAGCCCAGGGGGAGGGGCTTAGTTTGAGTGTTGTGTTTACAAGCTGAAACAAACACTTCTAATGACTCTACCTTTAAAAACAAAAACAAATTGATATCCCTTTGAAACATAAAGAAAGTATTCGTCTAAAAATGTAATGTCACATGATGAGTGTGCTAATAGAAAAGAAGAGCAGTTCTCTCCTGAAGGTACGTATTGAATTTATCCCATAAGACAACTACAGTATTTATTTATTAGAATAAACGTGGACTGCTCTTTTGTCGTACTATCGCTGGGCAAAATCTCGGACACTCTCATGTCCCACGATAAATATCTCTATAAAGTCCTTCTGACTGCATAAAGGCGTGACATGGAGGTGGCTGCAGGTAGACCCGCCAACAAAGGACGACTGGACTGCAAATGTCAATGAAATGAACTGCAGGGAGATGCGGTCTGGAAGAACTGTACTGTACATAATGTGACCCGCTGTAATTGAAAGATCTTGTTATTTTTGCACTAATGGCACATGAACTTTAGGTTACTCACAGAAGCTTAATAACACTACGCCAGCCCTCATTGGCTGGCAAGGATAACGTCTATGTCTGGAGGGGAGGGGACCCTCCCCCTATATAATAGGCAGGCATAGCGTCAGTCGTCATTCAAACAAGCTCACCTCTTCCTCGCTTCTATAGCAAGGAGGGTGGTCTGGTGAGACACTCACTCATGCTACTCAGAGAACCGGGGTTATGTAAATAACCTAAAGTTCTCTTTCATAGCATTCGTTTCGTGTCTCACTATGGGGAAAATACTGACTCCCGTATTGCCAGACAAGCCTGATATGAAGAAAACTGTCCCCAGTGGTTCTTCTCACAAAGGGAGCCACGCCCTAAGAAGAAACCGAACTGAGGACTGAATGTGCCATGGTTGGCGCCGTGACATCCAATTTATAAAATCTAGCAAAAGTGTGGGGTGAAGCCCAGCATGCTGCGGCACACACCTCTTGAACAGAGACTCCTTTAAAGAGAGCCCATGAGGTTGCTAGCCCTCTGGTGGAATGTGCCCGAAGGCCTGCAGGGGGCTGGAGGCCCTTGCTAGTGTAAGCCAGAGCAATAGCCCCCACAATCCAGTGTGACAGACGCTGTTTGGACACTGGCTTTCCCATGTGTGGGTTCACCCAAGACACAAACAGCTGGTCGCCCTTCCTGAAACTCTGGGTCCTTTCCAAATAAATGTGCAGTGCACGGACAGGGCAAAGAGTATGCAGACGCCTGTGTTCCTCAGAGGAAAAGGTGGGGGGTAAAAGGCAGCCAGCTCTATTGAAGAGCAAGTGCCCATAACCTTGGGTATGAAGGCAGGGTTAGGCAGTAGACTGACCCTGGTGTTCCCCGGGGAGAACTTAGTACATGCACGATGCACAGAGAAAGCATGTATCTCACCAATGCGTTTAGCTGAAGCTAATGCCAGCAATAATGCCACTTTCAGGGACACCTGTTCCAAAGGTTCAAATGGGGAGCCAGAGAGAGCATCCAGTACCGTGGGGAGATCCCACGACGGAGCTAGTGGTCTGGATGTAGGCAGTTTCCTCCTAGCACCCTTCATAAATTGACACACCAATGGATGTTGACCCACAGTCCTCTCATCAAAACCAATATGGCAAGCCGAAATAGCTGCCAGATACACTTTGATGGTTGAGAAAGCCTTACCCTTCTCTATAAGGTTCTGTAAGAATGACAGAATCACTGCCACAGAACACTGAAAAGGAATAGTCTGTGACTCTGAGCAAAAGCTTTCAAACACACGCCACTTATGCTCATACAACTTCCTAGTTGAAAAGGCCCTGGCGCACTGAATAGTATCAATAACACTGTGGTGGAGTCCCACCACATTAAGATTGAACCACACAGGGCCAGCCTCTCTGGGTGAGGGTGAAATATCTCTCCCTGCGCCTGAGACAGTAGGTCCCTGCGCACTGGTAACGGCCACGGTGGGCCGAACAGGAGTTCAAAAAACTCCGCCATCCAGTGCTTTCCTGGCCAATGTGGGGCTACCAGAATCATTGACAGGGCTCCTTCTCTCACTCTGGCCAGAGTGGGAGGAATGAGTGCCACTGGTGGAAAGGCATACAGGAGGGTCTTCGGCCACTCGTGTGCCAGTGCATCCACTCCCAGCACGGCTCCCTGATCTCTCAGAGAGAAAAACATGGGGCACTGAGCATTGTCACTGTAGCATAAATGTCTACAGTTGCCTGACCGAATCGTGACCAAATCTGCCTCACTACCTCGGGGTGAAGCTTCCAGTCTGCGTACAGCGGGTTGCCCCTGGATAACAGATCTGCCCTGTAGTTCAGATTGCCCGGCACATGCGACGCTCTCAGAGACAGCAGGTGTGCACTGCCCCACACTATCGGTCTGTGTGCCAGTGTGTGTAACTGGGGGGACCTCAGCCCGCCTTGTCTGTTTACATAGGCAACCACGGTAGAATTGTCCGTTCTCACCAAAACATGATGACCCTTTAGCCACGGGAGGAAATGTTTCAGAGCCAAGTGAACAGCCAGCAGCTCCAGACAGTTTATGTGAGCAGAGCGCATGTGAGAGCCCCATTTCCCATTCACTGTTCTTCCCTTGTCAGTGGCCCCCCAGCCCAACAGAGAGGCGTCTGTCGTGATCACCTTCCTGTTGTGGACAGTTCCGAATCTGACCCCTTGAATGAGGAAAACTGGGCTCCTCCATTGTCTGAGAGAAAGAGAGCAGTCTGCAGTGACCCGGTGAGGGTCTAGTCCCAGAGAAGCCACCCAGCGCTGAATGCCTCTCATGTACAGACGTCCCAGAGGTATTTCCACCACAGAGGAGGCCATCAGGCCTAAGAACCTCGGGTAACTACGTCGCCCCCTGCGATAAAGTGGCAGACACGCTTGCATCGTCTGCACTCTCTCCGGGGACAAAAAGGCCTTGGCCTGGACCGAGTCGAAGAGGACATGGAGACCTTCGGGTGGAGATGACTCGCCACCAGCGGCTCAATAGGCGGCATATTGCGGAGTCCGCGCGTCACCATCCCTTCACAATCCAGCAGTGAACTTCCCGCAATGGGGTGTTTCTCGCTGTACGGCCGGTCTTTCCACGTGACAGCTAACTCCTCGAGCAGCTCCGGGAAAAATGGCAACAGTTGCTTTCCCGTCTTTTTCGCCTTCTGCAGTCTCTTGCCATCAAAGCGGGACTTAGCAGCTTCGGCTTGAGCGACGGGCCATGGGATATTCAGCCTGCCGGCCGCACATCTGCACATATCTTGCATGCCGAGATCCAGGGGAGATGATGTCGGGGGTTGTTCACCTTCATCAGCGCCGAGGGGCTTAGCGGCCCCTTATCATCCGACAGAAGGAGCTCCGAGTCTGCCGACTCTTCATCCTTATCGGCATCTCCCAGGGTAGAACGGGAGGCTGTGAAGCCTCCGAATCCCCTTGCCTCCAGCTCCGGGAAAACGATGTCCGGGGGTGGAGGGGCTATATCCGCTCAGCTCAGCCCAGGTGTGACGGCCAGAGCCTCGGGCAGCAGCCTCGCCAAGAAGCGGGTCTACCCCGGACATGTTAGACTGGCGGGCTAGCCGGCGACGGAGAAGCCTTTGGGGGAACGCAGCGCAGTGGATACACTCGTCCATTGAGTTTACGGCGGCCCAGGTGTGGGAGAGTCCCAGGCACGCCACACAGACGGGGTGAGTGTCCCAACTGGAGATTTTATTGTTGCAGGGGCATAGCTTATGGCTTTTTGCAGCTTCACTGTCGTTAGCCGTCTCCATGGTTAGCCAATGGGCTACAGGTGCTAGCGAGACCGACTACAAGCTTGTGCAGCTATGTCGGCTGAGAGGGGGTAAATATTGCTATTTCCGGCTAGCGTTTAGAGTGAAAATGGTGTTAAACACTCTTAGAATGTAATCCGTATTGCTACCTATAACAGAAAAAATCTAACCGTATTGCTACCTTTATTGATAAGTGGAGTATTGCTACTCTGGGTAAAAAGTATTGCTACTTTGAGTCTAAAGTGTTGCCACTTCAACCTCGAACTAGCTTGAAAGAGTATTGCTACTGCTTCAGGAACTAGTGACACTGTACGACCAGCAAAGCGCCCAGTGACCGAGTTGTGCGCTCAGTCTGCGGACAGTTCAGCTTAGCTTAGTTAATACGGGTATCGAAAAGGCTTCTGTGAGAAGCGAGAAGAGGTTTTTGAATGACGGCTGACGCTATGCCTGCCTATTATATAGGGGGATGGTCCCCTCCCCTCCAGACATAGACGTCATCCTTGCCAGCCAATGAGGGCTGGCGTAGTGTTATTAAGCTTCTGACGAGGTCATGCAGGAGGCGTTCCCCATAGTGAGACACGAAACGAATGCTATGAAAGAGAACCCCCTTTATTTCCTACTGCCCTCTTTCTTTTTCTTGTTTTAAGCTGAAAACGTAAATAAAAAGAAAGCACCAAAAAAGACAACCTTGTGTTCATGATCATTAACCCATCATCCATGTCCATCATCAGAGACACTTACACATCCTGGTCACACCATGTTATTTAAGCCAATATATTTAAGCCAAGGCTTGCTCCAATAGTATTTCTTTGTACTTATAAAAAGCGATGATTGAGATAAGATATCTTTATTGTCACTGAACCCTGCCTCATCATCATCATCATCATCATCATCATCATCATCATCATCATCATGAGTGGAAATCTCTCCCAACAAGTGAACATGTATTGAAGTGAAAACAGGCTGAGTTTATTTTCTTCATATGCACCTGTTGGCTTTACCTTTTTTCTGAAGCTGTGCCTGCTCCTTCTGCCTCAGGTCGATCTCCCTGCCGAGCGCCTTCCTCTGCCTCTGCAGCTCACTCCGTAGCACGGCTATGCGCAGCTGCATGCACTCCCGCTCTTTCTTCTGCTCCGACCAAACAGAGGGAGAATGGTATGGAGAGAAAACAGAGAGAGGACGAAGAAAAATATTTAATATGTGGTCACAGCAATTTTTCCGTGTTTATTTTTCTTCATAAAGACCCTGAAAATCCGACCAACTCCTGCAAAAACAAGCCACGTTTTTGCAGGCTGATCCCATGTTGCACTCATATAATGTACTCGTACTCCACTGTCAACAACTAATGACAAGGAAGACGGAGAATGATTTGGCTCTTCCAAACATCCCGCTGAGCCCTGAGATCAGTGCTACAGGTGAAAAGGTTTAGTAATGACCCTGAGTCATGGGAATGGCTGGCGGGGACTTAACTGGTATGAAGTTATGGCTGTTAACATGCAAGCTCCGACAGGATGTGGAGAGATGAGGCTGAGTCCTGACGGCCGGCACAGGCAGAGCTCCAAATGTTTGGTGTTTTTAGGGGCCGAGCAGCACTACCCTTGTATTTGTCAATGTTGTTCTTCTTCTTAAACATAAATTTACCAAACTTAACACAGTCCTATGATAAACTTCCTCAACGAGCAATGTGTGCTGATAGTCCTGATAGACCGCTGAGTGTTTTCTACTTTAAAACACACATAAAGGATCAATTCAATGTGCTGCGACTTCACAACTTTCACCAAAATGCATCCAAAGAAGGCGCAAATGATCAGACGCTTTATGACAGCAGGAGTCTTGAAGTCAATGATTCTGTTTTTCACACGAAACATTGAAACTTATTGAATTCTGTTATCTTTTGCTCAGTTGATACCTACAGTATCTTGCTATTATGCATCTTCAGACTTTCCTCCAAAATCTATCAAGACAGTTTGATCATAAATTGGTCCAACCGTGGATCAACATGTTATATTAACTGAACAAAGACAACAAAATCTTGCTTAATAAATCTCCAAGAGGCTTGTCTCATTGGATGCTTTGGATATAGGCCAGATGGGGCTATAGATATTCGAGCTAAATATATTTATGACTGTGATGGATTTTGACAAAGATGGCTTGACTTTTCCTGGCTTAACTTGTTATTTCATGTCTTTTTTAATATATTATAGTTATGTATCTTGTATTCTGTATGGATGCTCATTGTCGGCTGTAAACTTGGTTGACTGTGCTGCTCTCTGTCTTGGCCAGGAAAACCTTTGGAAAAGAGATTTTTAATCTCAACCACTTTTCTCCTGGTTACATAAAAAAAGGTGATGATGATAGTAGATGCAGTCAGGTCAATATCTAAGAGGTCTTAAAGACTGTTTTTTTTTGTATTTTGTATTCCATCCTTGTGTAAACTCTGAAGATCAGGTGAAGTGTGTTTTTACAAAATAAAGACATTTAAGGTGCAGAAATAAATACCTCTTGATAATTGAATGTCTGAAACTAGTTTTAAGTCTGGCTTTAAATGCATGGATGATGTCTAAGTCAAAGCCATGAATGGTTTGCATTTGCAGGTAGATCAACAAGATCAGGACGCATGCTTGGTGGATGAGGTTGTACTGCGTGGATTAGAGATGATTTAAAAAATTATAATAATAATCATGGTGCTCCTTTGTTTGTTATTGTTTTTCTCATCTTGCACGTCTTTCAGTGACTGCCCCAAATGTTCTGCCATGCTACCCTCTGCCATGCAAGTGTGCAGTCTATTTAAAAATTCAAAAGCCTCGAGCTGTTGTCACACATACCCTAAAGTCCAGAAAATGTCATGACATTTTCGTGGTGGGCTTAAACGGCCAAAAATGTTAACTTAGACTTGATCCTGCAAGACACCTGGCATGATGTCCAGGAGAAGTCAGGTTAAGCCTAAGTGTGAAGCAGGACAAAATATTCAGGAAAATTCACTACGAATGAGGGTGATGATGTTTATGCAACCGGTTTAATCTTGGTGCACGTCATGAAGCTTCTTCGTACTCTTTTCTGCTCGCCAGCATGTTCTTTTCTACTCATTCACTGATTAACGTTTCCAATAACATGGAAGAACTTCACGCTGTGAGGGACGTGTGTGAACAAGCAACTCAGAAAGATTTCAGGGGCGGGCTGTCCTGAAGTTTACAAGAGTGGATATGTGAAAACACATGCAATCATGTCGATGTCCAACGACACAAGAAGGAGACTAAAACAGGTCATGAACTCCAGATGAGTATCTGTCATTGTCTCTGTACCCTCAACACCCTGCTGTTGTCTCTCTCACCACATGCTTTCTGACCAGCAGCAGAATCAGAGTGCAGGTCATTAGTCAACACGTGACCCTCTCTGTAGGGCGTCCCTTCATCAGGCCTTATGTCTCTATTTGTACGAGAGGGGAGCTTGTAGAGGGCTAACGGTCTAATGAGGAACAGCAGCAGACCTTCATGGACTGATGGATGTGGATGTTGGTTACAGAAGATCAAGAGAGACATGGAATGAAAAATGATAAGTTGAGATGAACAGATCAACTAACTTCAAACATGCAATGAGAGATTTAAGAGGTGATGTTAAGGGACTGTGTGGATGATGATGACTGAGAAATGTAAAAGAAGTTGGCTGAAAAGAGTTGTAACAGGGAACAAAACAAATAATTAAGAGATATGAGTGAATAAGCTCGAGGGCAGAATAAAAGGAATTCAACTTTGAAGTCTCTGTGATTACCCTTGTGTGAAAAATGTGGATTTAATCGAAAAATGTTCTTTAAAAATTTGCATTAACAAAACGTGCATTACAAGAACTGCTCTAACATCCTGCCCAATATGGCTTAAAGCAGATTTTAAAGCTGCAGGGAAGCTACTGCCCGTTGTTAAATGGTACCAACCAACTAGGGATGCACCGATGCATCGGCTCAACATCGGTCTCTGCCGATATCGGCCCTGCTGACGGCAATCAGCAAATAATGTGGCATGAACCAATGTCAGTAGCAGTTTTTGTTGTGCCGAATCAATTTAATGCTAACATCTAGTGCACCTCAAGTCCCAACATTCAGACTCAGACACAATGGAAAAAATATTTAGAGGTTCACATTTACCTCAGCAGAGTGGGGAGAAAATTGGAGATTAATGACAACAACTTCAAAGACAGTCAGATGTTAAACGACTGAACACTCCCTCCAGACTTACAAAATAGACCCAAGTGGTTCAGATCTATGTTGGTATGATTGTGGACAACTTTCATTCATGTGCTGTGGCACTGCCCTGCACTCAAGTGCTTTTGGATGGAAGTGTTTTATTTGACCTCAAAACTAAGGAATATAAATATTCTCCATGTCTGGTGGCTTGCATGGGGGAGCGGGCACAAACCAAAATGTTTGTCAAAAGAAACTTTTTGAGTCTTGATGATCAAAGACACCAAGTTTAAGATGGAACCCATTTGGGATCAGGGATAATGAGCAACCCTGTGTGTTTTCTATTCTGAAGCATGCATGCACCGTGTAAAGGACATTTAAACCTTATGATGATGACATGAATAATCATTTATGCGGTATTGCCTGCACTGTGTTATGTTATGTGTTAATGTCTTGTTTTTTTGTAGTGGTCAATTTTATGTAAAAGTAAAAAGAAAAGAAAATTGACTTGTATTACTCTACATTACTATACAAAAAAGACACACACACACACACACACACACACACACACACACACACACACACACACACACACACACACACACACAATGTGAAATGTTGCCATGACAGAGAGAGACACTGATGGTGTTGTGTTGTTAAAAAGTCACCATTGTGTGTTTTTCAGAACGTGTGATGTGTTTAAGGATGCAAAGTCAGCAGGCGAGTTAAAAGGTCTAAGCTTTTCAAAAAACAGGATATGTCTCTAGCAGCAACATTTACAGCAGAGCCAGAATACTATGAGTCAGTACAACAAGAGGAAAAGAGTGTCTGAAAATAATTGTACAATGTTGTGTAATTAAACACATTGAAAATGACTAAAACATTTTGAGACAAACCACATGGTTTGATGTTTCTGATGATAAAATGTGTTTCAATCCTTAAATAGTAATAAAAATATTAAAAGCAGAAACAGAAATCTTTGGAATAGATCACACCGAGTCTGGAAAACATTTCTCTGGATTTCATGGGGCCCTGGGGTGAGCTCGCTGGCAGAATAACAGAGACTCATCCCTGTTTTTCATCCTGTAGTTTGCAAACAGAGAGGCAGTGGCATCTCACACATACACTTTGATAGTGATCATGGCCTGGATCAGAGGAAACACAGATATGCTTCTTGTTGAAGACTTCAGAGGGCTTGTGGTAAAAACAGAGCGGGGTATCAGTTGCAGAGAGACGACTGATAGAGCCTCCATCCCTCCAATGTGTCGCACCCTGATGCCTTCATGTTAACCACCACAGGCTTTGGCACGAACCACCAGCCTCCTACACTTTCACTGAGCGCCACAGTCGACAAGTGGGTCACAGCCGTGTCAGTGTGTGTGCGACTGTAACCCACGAGCACGGCCCGACTGCCTCCCTCTGAACATCAAACAGCAGTGGGTCAGCTGAGTAAATAAGCAGCAGGCGTGGAGGGGGCTGTTATAAGAGAGCAGATTAATGGCAGAGTGTGGGTGAGAGGGTGAAAGGGCCCTGCGATGAGGTTGGTGGCCTCCACTCTGTCCCCGCTTTGATCCAGGCTCAGTATGACGACAACAGAAGGAGAGCACAGAGCTCTCCAAAGAGGGAGACCCTCAGAAGAGCCACACAAAGCTCCACTCACTCCCACCGCCGGGTTTTACAGAAAGGTAGAGGACGAGGATTATGTGATTTATTGGCTGATGGGAGTTCTGAAAAGGCTTTTAAGAAATGTTGCAGTGAGGGGGAAATATCACAGACGAGTTTTTGAAAGGGATCCTTTGTGGCGAAAGAATGGAGCCTCAATGCTTTTTGTGGCAAAGCTCAAGTAGTGAAGCCGCTTTAATAGGTCTGGCTACAAGGGACAAAAAAATGAGCTGTATCAGAGCTGCTGCAGAGAAAGATGGAAAGCAACAGCTGTAACATCTGTCTCAAGAGACACTCTGAGATTTACATTTAGTATCTGTACAAAAAGCCCGTACACATACTAGATTTGAAACACTGTGAAAAGGATAAAATAACCCAGCTGTCTAAAATTAATGTGGGCATGTAAGGTACGTAATCCCGTGGCCGAAGGCAAGCCTACCTGCAGGATAAAAACCCTCAAGTGTCACTGCCTCTGCTTCTACAACAGCACGGGAGACAGGACGCTTTTGAAGTGAATGTTTACAATAAACACAACAAACCCGGGATCGGCACTCAGTTTTCACAGCTGTGTGGCTGCCAATTCCAAAAATGTTAAATATGCTTTCTTGCTTTTTCTGTGGATCCCAGCTGAGGATATGACAGGAGGAGGAAACATAAACAGAGGGGTTTTGTCAGAGCGTTATCTGTAAGGGATATTGCTCCGTCTCAACTTTTCAGTAGAGCCGTCAAAACAGAAAGCGATAGCTTAAATAGCAGCCCAGAGGGTATAATTACACCTTACATTACTTTACATTACCATTAGATGCGGGGATTTAGGTGATAGAAGCTCTTGAAGCCTGTACAGTCTGCTGATGTTTATTATTCATGTGGAAATGTGTGGGCCTGTTACTGCTGATGACTGCAGATCTACTGCTCTGTGGAGTTAATGAAACGTTCTTTGAAAACATCTGAACACACCTCAGCTTTATTTTTTCAAAGCCTGAAATTTAACTAATTTTTATATAATCCTACGATAACATTTACTGACGCAACAGCACCGACTGCTACTGACAATAAGCCGTCCGTACTGTACAGAGATGGAGAGAAAATGTCTTTGGCCAAGACAAAAAAACAAGTCCCTTTGTCCGACACAAAGAATATTAAAGAGTTAGTTTCTAAATCTAAATGACCAACAGGGTTCCCCATGCACAGCCTATACGTTCTCAGGTGCGCACGGTTGCAGGAACATACCATGAAGGATGAATCAAAAATCTGTGGCACACTGAAAATAACTTTATTTTAGTATAACTTTAGTATCTCAATATTTGGGAAAATGTGCTTAAATTTGGCAACTGCTAATGCTACTAGCTTGACATAAGGCTATGTTCAGGATATACAGAACATAAACAAGTACATCGTCCGGGGCTGTGGATCAGTTGGTAGAGTCGGTTGTCTCTTTAACCGTAAGGTCAGAGGTTCAGTTCCTGCAGCCACATATCCGATGTGTCCTTGGGCAAGACACTTAATCCCAGGTTGATTGGTGTATGAATGTGTATGAATGATATTAGTCACTTCTGATGGACACTTTACATTGCAACCTGAATGTGTAGGTGTGACCTGCGGTGTAAAAGCACTTTGAGTAGTCAGAAGACTAGAAAATAATTTAAAAAAAGTTCGAGTCCATTTACCATTTACCATTTTACATTCGTCTAGAAAAAAGGAATCATAAAATGCTACTGTAGGTGTCTTGAGAAATAAGGATTTATTCCCTGGAATTCACCGGCCAGAGGCTTCAAATCTCAGGCAAATATCTCTCTGGTCTCCCTCATCCCTCTGCCTGCTGCACACCTGAGTGTTATTAGGTAGGGTAGGAGGAGGTGATTTAGAGCAGCAGTGTGTGCAGAGAGACAGTGTGCTCTCTGGCTCACACACACTCTGGGCAGCAATGCGGTGAGGAGCTTTTGTTCCCCATTTTACTTGTTTATCCCCAATCCATTTCTTTTCCCCATGTGTGTTTCAATTGCTGGGTTTTGTTATTTTGTTTGGGCTGGAGACCACCTGTAGTCCTATTTTCCGTCGTTCTGACAGGTTCATTTTTTTTAGGTAGTTTTATGGGGAGGTGCTGAGAGCGTTATCGATTGGAAAAAAATGCTGTTGATGGGTGACTGTGCTCACCCGCTCTGTGCAGGTCGCCGTCGTCCTCAGCTTCTCCTCGATCTCCTTCCCGATCTTCTGCACTGTCACTTGGGTCTGCTTGATGGCTCTCTGTGCTGTGTGAAGCCTGCAGGAGGAAACACAGAATATGTTTACATGTAGAGTTAATTACAGCTCGATTAGGCCATTTAACTGGACTACTGTTTTTGTCCCAATATACCGGGAGAGCATCGATTAAGTCTGACTCCACTACAGTAGGTGGCGATGTGTCCCCTATTCAGCCGGTAACTATTGGACATTCTTCCGGTTATTAACGTCACATACCAAATAATCAACGAACTGATGATGAAAACATGGACAATTTTACAGCTCCGTACATTTCCTACGTACTGTCACCATGTTGATACCGTCGTCTTGCGTTCTTCCCGGCTTTCTTCTACGCATTTATGCTGTTCAACTTCCAGGTCAAAGCCCGGCGCAGGAACCGTGGAGCATGCAGAGAACGCCTCGACCAGACGGATCCGATTGAGGTGTATGCAAGAGTAAATAGTTTCCAAATTGCATCATTATGGTGCGTTAGTCCGACTTTGAGAAATGTGACTTAATATAATTTGACTAACGTGTCTTCATGTATTTTAAAAGTCAAGTTTTAGTCACACTAACGCAGAAAATTTACTTTTTTTAACAACATGCAAATGTACTTAGAGTCACAATCCAGATCATTGTTTGAAACTACAAGAACAACTTTTATTTTGAAAAGGTGCCGTCAAGAGAGCACTAAATTGACTGTGTTATGACTGCATCAGTAAATGATTTTATTTAAGGTTGGATGATGACAGAGACTGATCATCCTTCTCCCCAGTGGTACAGTCATTGTGCAGTGTATTTGTTATCCCTCCTTGGTGCTTTTTTCTGATTTATGGGAGTTGATCTTAATTTTTTCCCGTCCAACTGCTGAGTCTCCTAAACTGGAACAGTTCATGAAGAGTTTTTACACTAGACAAAAGACAAAAACAATACTGAGAAGTTTCCCTAATGATAAAAGTCTATTGTCAATGAGCAAGTTCTTAAACACCGCAAGCCGCAAATAACACAACAAAAAGTCTAATCACTATTATTTTCTAATAAAGGAACCACAATGTGGGATCAAAGGTCGTGAGACGGACCTGAACGCATCAGTTCCAGAAAGCAAAGCAAACCATCAAAAAGCTAGACTAATTAATGACAACCACAAAGGAGCAGGCTTTTTTTCAAAATACAATGTCACTGTCACAACTGAAATAAGGCACAACACCATCATTACACCAATGACATGACAGCCTATAATTATCTCCATCAATCACTGGGTATTTAACTTCCCAGTCCACATTCTCCTCAGATCCAGAGCTCACAGAGAGACAGAAAAATCCCCTAAAGACAATCTGCTCTGAAAACCCAGAAACAGACGACAAACACACACGATGGGAATGAGTAACAGAGGGCAGACAAATAGGAGTTTACCGTCACACTGGTGTTAGATTATACACTTTTAAAAAATATTTTTAAGGTTTTTAGGCCTTTTCATTTAAATTATAAAGAGCAGAAACCGGAAGCCGAGTGTCAAACCCGGGCTTCCCTCCTCAGGGTCTGCGGCCTCTGTTGACTGTGCGTGCAAACTAACTTCTAGGCCAATCAGTGGCCATGGTTAATTAACTTCTAGCTAAATGTGTCCCTACCAATCCTATATATGATTACATTCATTTGCAATGAAAGATGTGTTGTTCAATAACTGATACTTTTCTCCCTCAGAGAAAGAATGATTCAACTGTAGGAGGCCCCCAAATAAAGATGTCATTATCTGTATTTGTTAAACACTTCTTTGTCTTCTCACAGTAACACTGTGTCGGGACCACTCGAGTTACATCAGTTTTCCTGCAACACTGAAGCAGCAGTCTATTCTGGTTTTCTGTCCGTACATTTCAACTGTTGATTAGAGCGTCCAGCAGAAAAGGAGAAGTGAAACAGCATTTCCTTGAAATGTATAAAAAGTATTCAAGATGTTTTTTTCAAGTCAACAGTAATGCAACAAACGTTAGATAAACGTAAGCTGTGATTAATGTATTTATTTCTTATGTCTCTTTATTTGACATCAATACTGTGTATATACTAGTACAGGCACACACACAAAAAAAGATTCAGGACCCTGTTGCATGTGAGACTCAGCTTAGACTGGACCGGCCTGGTACAAGCTGCACTAATCAAACTCAGAGCGTATCTGCTGCCTAAGACATGGGGATAAAAACTTGTCTGATACACGTCTGGTCCAGACACGGTGTAACCCCGTGGTTTAGGTCATCTGGGTGAGGTGAATAGGGTTTCCCGAAGGTATGTGGCTTCTTTCAGTCTTCAAGAAATTGCCTCTTAAGAGGGTTTAGTGTAAGAGGCTCTTTCTAACAGGCTTCCAGCTTGGCGGGGTCATTTTACAAATCCTGGTGGGCTTCTTTTTTTTATGAAACTCACAAAGGTCCCCCCCTTGATGTTATTGCCTCTTTCTGGCACCCAACCTGGAAGAAAAAAAATGTATCTATGACAAGGAAAAAAGAGCTTTAGGGAGGAGTTCTTCCAGAAAATCATTTCATATCTTCTGCCCACATTTTAGATATGTCTGAGGTGACAGCGATAGCAGTTGGAGATCGTCTTTTAGGACATCAGGGCAAATCTGTTTTGACAGCTACATCTGTTTAGGTGATTGTGGTGGTAGAATCTGATATGGCAGTTTCCCCCAGGTGAGAAGAGTTATCTCCTCTCTGCTTTTCACGCATGTCTGCCCCTTATCATTGCCTGAGTCTTGGCCTAACGCCTGCCCATCAGCTCGATCGTACCTTACAGACCAGCAGGGGGCATAGGGGTGCTCACCCTGCACCCTTATTGTGTCAGCAGGTTTAATCCCTGGGCAACTGTCCAGAAAAAAGCCTTCTCACGAGCCATGACAGCTTTCCTTTTCAGAGGCATGAGCTTTAACTGACAACTGTGTGCCACAGGGGATTTGCAGGAAGTTATGACTGAGCGTGTGCACTCAACCCTTCATGCAGATAAACATCAGAAAAACAAAAACATTCCCTCCTTTGACCGCGGTACTAGATCCTGCCGGGGTGTCAGATGAAACTTGTTCTTTTGAAACTTCCAGATTTGTTGATTAACAGAGGAGATCTTAAATAGGGGCTTTTAGGTATCGAAAGAACACAAAGTTAAAAGTTAAGACTTAAAATCAAGCAAGCAAAAAAAAATGGTGAAACTTTAGACCTTCCAGTGCAGTTTGAGGGCAACAGACACGGCGGCTCCTCTGAACCCGGGTCTCCTGTTCCTTGTTCATTTACGTTTACTGATTATCTTGGAATAAATATTTGCCGAAGTTTACATGCTGTGTTTTGATCCAGCATCTGCATTTCTGAAATCAGTGTTGAGAAGGAAACAGCAGATGCAGATTTATTATTTGGCTCACAAAGATAAGCCAGAGAGAGATCTAGGGTGTAAGGAAAACACTCAAGAGAACGTTACTTTTCTTAAGGAAGAAATGCACTCCTTTGGTAAAGCTGTCCCTAGGCGACTCATTTTCCTGTGGATTGAACGGAAATAGTCTTCTAGACTCGCCCTCTATTCTATAGTTAAGAAAAAATTCAGAAAACAACTGAAATTGAACACAATTAACCTAACATAGATAGATATTGTCCAAAACCATACTGCATGTAACCTTTTTAACTGTAATTTAATCATTACGTTCTTCAAGGAGAAAATAAATGCTTATTTAAAATGCAGCTGAAATGTGCTTAACATTGCTGGTAAACAACCTTAAATTGGTTTGCCAAGTGGCTACCTGAAGTCTTGGCACCACCAGCCTTTGGTCTTTCTTGCAGGTTAACATCCACATGCTTGTTCTGAATGTGGTTACGTAATGTTCCAGTCGATATGCAAGTTAAACTTGACACGGGCAACAATCGACTTAATCTCCATTTTCTTGATTGCCAAACCGTGCTGCTCCTTTGAGGTGCACGGTGCTGGTTTACATCCGGGCAGAAGAGCAGGGAGAGCAGGTCCATTACCTTAAGATATAGCTCCATCTAGTGGCCGGTGTTTGCTTTACAGCTTTGACACAACATTTAACCAGCATTGAGGGCCTAAATTAATCAAATTCTTTTCTGTCAGCATTGAAGCATTAATCACGATGACTGATAAGGTACCAAATAAACACAATCATTTTTATTTATCACATTAATCGCATGTCATTTAGTCCCTTTTGACGCACCTTAGTTAAGCCACTGCAGAGTCTTCCTGCAGCAGCAGGGATGGAACATAACCACAGGGCTCTGCTTGTTTCACCTCAAATATAATAAAATACAAAAGCATAACAAACACTGTTCTGACAATCAAAATACTGGAATAAACAAAGGCAACAATGTTTAATAGTTTTGTCAGATATTCACACACATCCCTGGTCCCTGGTAAACCAATCTCTCAAGTGTACTGTAGGTATTGTAAACCTTTTGAAAACATTGTCGCCTGCTGTCCCCCAGCTGCTCATAACGTGCAAGTGTGCCCAATGCACTTGTCAAACAAACCTGGGTCAGAGGAAACAAGCCCAAGGACTAATGACTGCACTGAATTCATTTCCTTCAACCATATTTCAAACAGTACAGGGTGAACAGGGCGGCCAATTAAGCCTTTCAAAACACAACTCTGAGACTTTTTATGACATAATAAGTGAGGATAATGCTCCACTATCACACCTCTGCTGGGGACAAAACAGACAGAGCAGCCGCAGGAAGATAACAACAAACAACTCCTTGTACTTCTGTCTATATCTCATTGCTCAAGAATGTCAAAACACTAAACCACTCTCCATTCACCCCACTTCACCATTGTCTCCATCTCCATGGAATTAGAGATAAGGCTACTGGAGTTTCTTTAGCGAGCATACACGCCTCTACTCCTCCGGGATGATGTTTTCTTTTTGTGAGGTTGTGAGGAGATACTATAAGCCATGTTGACTTGAAAATACAGCAGAGAGGCAGGGAAGCCGAAGAGATATGAACAAGAGTATTTTCTGGCTTTAAAATTGGCCATGCACTCTGCCTGCTCCCTTTCCTCGTC